TCAATTCAGTTCGAACTTGCTTGAAGCCAAAAAAACACGGATTATTTTTTCTTCTTATCCTTTGGATCCTACTTTGAACAGCTTGTTGTAAGTCATGACAGCAATTCAGTTCAGTAGTATCACAATTTTTTTGTAAAACTTAAAGGTAGGAATATGGAAATTTGAGCATTTTTCAGCCCGAGATAGCATACATCTTCCTCGACGATATAATTATTATTCTTGCTTTTTTATTTATGATTGTTAACGTGTTATACATACAAATGGACAGCAATGTGAAAAATCCATGATTTATGCAAGTGATATGTTGCTCTTAGTTTTGTCCTGTTATTGTATTCTATAATTTGTATTGTCTGTGTAAAGGAATTATTCATGTAATATTTGCAGCTCATCTTGAGATGTTGCATGCATAGTGAAGTTGTTGTTAATGTGGTCTGTGGTCTGCCAAGCAAACTACCTGTTACCACCATTGTGAGTGGCGGAGGAGATGGAACGATTATTTCTGAGTTTTTCTCCATACTGTCCTTTTGCGCTACTTCAAATAAAGAGACAAATGGAGGAGAAGCAGATAATCCTAAATTCGAAGTAACTTATGCACGTGATCTCGTTCTGCATTCATGTCTTGTACTTGCCACAGTTGCGCAGTTTTTGAAGTTATCTGGAAGAAATTCTTCTTTGTTTATGCTCACATCATCAAAAAAACAGTCTGCTCGTCTGTCAATCCTTGCATACCATTTTTCATCTGATGAAAAGATGCAGTCCTCATTGCAGCCTCCTCGTGCAGCTGCTATGCTAGCTCTTGCATCCATTCTGTCACTAGAATCTGGAACTCCTATTGAAAATGCCGTCACTGAGACAGCTCTGCCATTAATTCCTCGAACAGCTACACTTTGTGACCATCTAAGAGGTTCAGTAGTGGATGAAACTGGAGTGAACCTCAATACACGGAATGGTCTGCTCTCATATTGGCATGGCCTTAGGGATGGATGTGTTGGACTATTGGACTCTAGACTGAAGTGGGGAGGACCTATGGCTGTGCAACAGTTATGTGCAAGTGGTACTCCTCAGCTTCTTATTGATTTATTGGCTAACAATATTTCAATTGCTTCTTGTCAAAGATCTGAATGCTCACAAGATCAAATTGGATTATCGCCTGCTGGGGTTGTGTGGACAATTTCATCAATCCGTCAATGCCTTTCTGGCGGAGTTTCAACATTTCGCCAAATTCTGCTAAGGGCAGAACATATCAAGTGCATTTCTGATCTAATATCTGAAGTACATCTTAAGCTCGTTAGGTGCTGGAATGGACCTGGTGGAGGGAAAAATGGAGTCAGGGATACAATTAATACAACAATCGACCTCTTGGCATTTCCATTCGTAGCTGCACCGAATGCTCCTGGTTTGCCATCTGCTACTGCTTCAGTAAACAGTGGATTCCTTCTTAATATGGGTTCACCTGGTGGGCAGATTTGCACTGTAGACGAAGACATGATGAAAGCAATACAGACCAACATGAAAAAGTATATTCAGATCCTTCTAGAGGTTAATTTCTCATCTCTTTCTCAAGTTTCTTAACAATAGGATGTTATGTTAAAGGGAGCTCCTTTTTCTGGTTCCTCCTGTTTCATATTGTTTATCATATTCTCTCTTGGCACAATGTTTAGTAATATTCACCTTTACGATTAGAACTTCAAATCTATCCAAGCACAAGTGTGCAATCCTTTTTGGCAAGTGACCTCCACGACAAACCACTAAAAGAAACATTGTCCACTAAATGAAATGGAGGCACTATCTTTCTTTTTTTATCTGGCTTGCCTCAAGTATTGAATTCCCAGAAAAATGGTCTCATGTTCTTTCCTCTAGACGAAACGAAGTATTAACGCAACAAAAAACTTATAATAAAATATTGTAAGGTCCAGTTGCCATGTCAATCATCAATAAACCATTCTATGGACTGTTGCACGGGTTTTTTCCTGAAATACTTAAACACTTGCAACCTCAAACCTTTTCAAGAGAAGGTGCATAACACTGTTTGAACTTTGCATATGCCCTGAACATGAATAATTAACTGGATAATACCTGTATACATGGTTCTGAGTTGGAAAACATTTTTGGCTTTCATGTTTAGTTGAAATAGTTTCTTCTGTACTCATAGGTTGAAGTGCCAGCCATCATTCTTCGGTGCTTGGACCATATGGATTTGAAAGACGTTGCTAGGCCAGTTGCATTTATTGCCAAACTTTCAACACAACAACCGCTTGCCATTCAACTTGTAGGTAAAGGCTTGTTGGATCCAACTAGAGTGAAAAGATTGCTTAATGGCCCCTGCCCAAGGGAAGTCACCATGGATATTCTCATGATTGTTTCAGATTTAGCTCGTATGGATAAGGTATTATCACGCTCTCCTACTTGTATTGTTATAGTTGTAAATATATTGTACACTGTCGTTAGTGAGATCACATTACAGCGCAAGTAGTGTAAATGCAGCGCTTATCTATGATCTAATGGTTACAGTCAATGGAATGCTTTCAGTTGATCACAAATTAACTGCATGCATGCTTTCTGATATACTGTGTTTGCAACAGACAAATAGCAACCTGATAGAATGAGAACTACGACGTGCTTAAAAAATATTCTTCCCATTTTTCATCAATTACAACAGAAGTCATATTCCATTTAACTTAAGTTCAGCATATTACAAATCTTTTTCTATTGTGTTGATCTTTGCTAGGATGCTGTCATTGAAACTGTGTTTTCCATGTTGCTCCCTCTGTCCTTCAAGCCATTGAACATTTTACATTTTTTCTTTCAACCTTTTGTTATCTGAGATAACCTGGTGTAAATTTTCTTCTTACTATGAAGAACTTCACAACTATCTTTGTGAACAACATCCATGCTTCTAATCATGAATGTGTACGCAGCTATTTTACAAACATATCGATGGGGCAGATATCTTAGATTCTCTCAAGCACTTTCTTACACACGAAGATTCCAATGTGCGTTCTAAGGTGTGCAGTGCTATTGGCAACATGTGCCGCCATAGCTCCTATTTCTATAGGTCACTGGTAAAGAACACATTCAACTAGAATTGTTTTCTTTTGACTTCATACGTTATGAAAAAAGATTTCTTTTGGGTTGCTTCAATGTTTTTCCTGTTTCGGATTTTATGTCCCTGTAACCCTGTGGATGTTCTGAATTTGTTTAAAGGCAAGACATGAAATCATTGGTCTCCTTATTGATCGATGCGCTGATCCTGACAGACGAACACGAAAATTTGCTTGTTTTGCTGTAAGCTATTTCTACATTGCTTTCACATTTGTAGTTAGTTTTTCTATCAACTCAACAAAATTTCCAAGTAGTTAATAATCCATATTGACACTTGATTAAAAACATTTCTTCCCACCAGGTCGGCAATGCTGCTTATCATAGTGATTCGTTATACGACGAGCTCCAAAGAGCCATCCCTCAGCTAAGGAATTTGCTACTTTCCCAAGAAGAAGACAAAACTAAAGCAAACGCCGCAGGTGCACTCAGCAATCTTGTTCGGAACTCTAACAAGCTTTGTGAAGACATTGTTTCTAAAGGAGCCATGCAGGTATTTTCATATTCTTTCATCACTTGCTATTGAAACTCATTGCTTCCAGTTTTCCTAGGATATGCTATGCATGCCATTCTTTAAGAATTTGTCTGAATTTTGCAATTTTCATGTTGGTCACTAAACTTCGTGTTTATTCAAGTTGGCCCATAGAATTAAGCCTATGTTTGGCCCCCATTTTTGTGAAAACTTATTTTTTCATAACTCATTTTCAACCACATATTTTACTAGAAAATAATTTTACACGTAAATTTAGAACATTTATTTATTTTTTAACTATACATTCTCCAACAAAACGTTATTCTAAAATGCATTTTGGCCTAAAATGGGGCTCAAACAAGGGCTACATTTCGTTTCACTTTGATCACACCAAATCCATATGCGTTGGTTTAACTAAGATAACATGAAATGTAGTTATTTGCCAACTAATCTTTCGCATAATCATTTTTCCCTAGTCAACTAATGCACGTGGATGAAATGATCAAAATGTAACAAACTTTAAATCAGTGACCCTAACAGGAAAAATTCAACAACTGAAACATGATATTTCTCTCAAATTGTTGCATTAGGCTCGTGAGCTCTTGAATATAAATGCTATATATACTTCTATACCGATTCTAAAGAACAATCGTGTTTGTTCAGGCATTGTTAAAGGTCGTGGCTGACTGTTCCGTGGTAGCACTGAACCCAAGGAGAGATGCCATCAACGAGTCACCTCTGAAGATAGCCCTGTTTTCATTGGTGAAGATGTGTGCATATCCATTGTGCAGGCAATTCATTCGCTCGTCAGAGCTATTCCCTATAATAGCACAACTTCGACAATCACCAGAATCCACAATTGCCAATTATGCCTCCGTCGTCTTAAGTAAGGCCTCAGAAGTTTGATGCCAGTGAAATGCTCAATGTGTATCCTCAAGTTCTGCTTACTCTCAGTGAACAGGAACTGAATTTTGTATATCTTATGTAACATTCCCATATGTTCATGAGCATCTCTATGTACACTTATCTAATGGTTTACCAAATTATCAAAAAGTTTTAATACTGGAGTTGATCCTGTACAAGGCGTTCGTCTCATTTCTGTACCAACTTGGCTTTAGTACATCAATCGGAATTTGTCAATTTGCCACGTAGATATTTCTCAAGTGAAGAGTGAAAATAGCTTCTACGAACAACATACTTTACAAAGAAACATGCCTACACAACAACACTACCTCCATTTGACTCGGAATCGAGTAGGATTATGCAATATACTTTTTAAGCTGAAAAACGTACTACACTAACACAGCTAGATTTGAATTACCCTGTAACCAATATTGGCATTAAGGAAGCTACCACATGTTGACGTGTTAGGAAGAACTTGTTGATCAGAAAGGCCAAACTTTTCTGAACTAGGTTTTGAACAACTAACTATTCAATATTTGACAAATTATCCATTTCCGTTGATTCCATTGTAAGAGCGCAAACGGATACATAATAGGAATAGAAAAGAATTTGGAAGTATCTAAATTACATTTCTATTATAATTATTCTTGATTGGTAGTAGACATTGATGTACTGTACTTGTATTTAAGGTAAGATTTAATGAAGGGATCTAACTCACCATCCATTACAGAAGCAATGTCTGATGTTTCATGTCCTGTCCTAACATCTTTAACGAGCTTGTACGGATGGAATACGTAATTACGTATTTGTTGGCCCCACTCGGCCTTCACAACATCTCCTTTAATTTGCTTGATCTCGGATGCCCTTTGTTCCACTGCTATAACTAGTAGTTTTGCTTTTAATCGGCTCATAGCTTTGATCTTGTTTGCTAGTTGGGATCTCTCTTCTGCAATGATAAAACAAAATAACAGAAAAAAAAAATGCTTAGATAAACTACAGATTTTAAACAAGTGACCTAAATAAATAAAAAGCAGATTTAGTAGCCACTTTAGAACAAAATAAAGCTTCACTCCAAGTTGAGTGACTAACATTTTTTTACCTAATGAAGAAACGAATTAGATATTGATATGCGGGTGAGTATCTAAGCACACTTAAAGAAGGAACTTGAACAAGACCATTTTGTGTAAAAACAAACATAAAATACATGCAACAATGTAAGGAATGTTAATGAAATAACCTGTGCAACGAACAGTCACTCCAGTGGGGATGTGAGTAATGCGCACTGCAGTTTCGACTTTGTTTACATTTTGGCCACCTTTTCCACCTGCTCTAGAAAAACTGATCTCCAAGTCTTCTTCAGGTATTTCTACATCCATTGACTCCTCGGGAAGAAGCGGCATTACTTCGACACCGGAGAAGCTTGTCTGCACGAAATCATTGTAAAAACGTATTCTATGAAATATCCAATAATCTCAGGATAGATGGTTGCTAGCAACTTACAACAACAAAGCCTTGTCTTAAATAAATTTACGGTCAGCTACATCAACCTTTTTCTCAACTCCATTCAAAGAGACACAGAGCTTGTTTAACTAATCTTTAAAAAGAAAACAAAGAAAAAAGAAAAATGTAACTCTTAAACCACTTATCTAAAAGTTCAAGCTTTTATACATGGTTACATGTATATCAATTAAGGGTTTGTTTGAACCCCATTTTTTGGGAAAATAGATTCTGTAATAGTTATTTTTTTGGAGAATGTATGGTCAAAAAGTAAGAACAAATTTTGGATTTGTGTAAAATTATTTTATTGAAAAAATGTTGGTTGAAAATGAACTAGGGAAAAAAAGAGTTTGTGAAGAATGTGGCTCAAACATTGGCCAATTATTATTTTCAATGCCCCCTCACGTGTAGGCAAGATTTCATTTGTTAAAAAGAGCTACATGTATATCATTTTAAACAACTTTTTGTTTTCAAACATGTTTAAATATGATACTCTTTTCTCACTTTTTAAGTAAAAAAAGTAACTTAATTTGAAAGTAACTCTTATCTTAATGTTAAAATAAGAATCAAAATTGATTGTAACTTTGACCAATTAAAAAATTTAATTTTAATAATATGCCAACAATTTAAGCTTAGCCAAACATGCTATCCAGCAACTTGATATCTACTAAGAGCATTATCCATAAACGATAGTTAATAAACTTCAACTTACTAGCATATTAACCTGGTTTGTTGAACTTACTGCCACAAAAATTGGAAATATACTAACGAGTAACAAAGAAGTCTTAGAGTTCTAATAGATTGTATCACCAAACAGACACCCTGCATGCACCAAAATTAGAATCATTGGTTTTCGGAAGTGTCATACATTCTACAATATCACATTTTCTTTCTTCTCCTCTGATTTAACATAATCCAACACATCCTGCAAGCGTAATAAGGATAAATTTCTCCCCTCTTTTAATTTCACCTTCGAGTCAATCCTGCCATCTTCCCCTTTAAATGTCTTAGTTAAACCATAAAAATTATGAACTTCTAGTAAGAGTCATAAAGGAGACTCAGGATTTCTTACAGCATAGATAAAGAAGAAAAAGAGACAATAATTTTTGTTTTATGTTCTTCATTCATTTCTGGAGTTGTTTCCATTCCTTAAATGAGCTATCCAGGTGGTTCTCAGGCCTCAACAGAAAATGTGTTGGATACGATCTTAGAATAATTTAAAATTTTTTTTTTTATTATAAAATCTCTTTTTCTGTATCTCAAATACAACCCCAGAGATGCGACTTAGGACCCACTGAAATGGAGAGGGAAAATAGGTATACCAAATGCTACAATGAAGTTACCTGGCGAAGGCCTTTGGCGTTAAAAGGGGATTGTCGCACAATTCGATGAGTTCCTTTCTCGCCAGACAAATACCCATAGGCATACCGTCCATCTAGTTCAATAGTGGCAGACTTAATTCCCGCTTCTTCTCCCAGGGACTTCTCAACCACTTTTGACTTGTATTGCTGTTTCTCACCCCATCTTACATACATCCTGAGAAGCATGTCAGCCCAATCCTGCACTGGAATTTATCAAAAGAATTTTACACAAAAACAGAGATAAATACATAAACTTGCAATTCAATACTTTCATAGTTAATTTACTAATATCAGTACGGCTTTTCTCATTGTGAAGAGTACATGAAGAGCACAGAACTTTCACTTAAAAGCTTGTGGTAAGCATACAGCCACAAGAACCCGACACAGTTAGCCTCTGTTTGGGCTCCATTTTTCCAAAAATGAATTTATTTTTTTAAAACTCATTTGCAACCACACATTCTTCAATAAAACAATATAACAAGTAAACCCAATTTTTTTTTTTTTTAAACCCAAAAATCACTATTCCAAAACACAATTTTTTTCCCCCTTCCAAAATCTCATTTCAATGGAGCCCAACAAGGGCTAAATTTATAGAGTGGAAGAGCAGATGAACCATCTCAGACAAATAAGTTCATAGGCCAGAAAAAAAAAAAGCCTTATTCACCTAGTAGCATGTACCAAATATAAGAGACAAGGATATCGAAGATAGTTGTGCAAGATTTGATTCAGATATAGCGCTGCATGTATTAATTCCTTCAGTACTAGTAAAGCAGATAATCCTACTGCAAGCAACAATCATGTAGATCAGTTATGGCTATAAATTGCATTTAACGTATCTATAGGACACATTAACTGTATGAATGATGTACACAGACCCAGACTGCTGATATTATGAACATTGACAGTCCACGTCTGGAATTAAGAATGTAGACATACCGTGTCAAACAAATAGAAAACAAGAAAAGACAAAATCAGCGAGCAAAATTTATAGGAAACTCATATGTGAGAGTTCAATAAGTATTCTTTCCAAGAGACACAGCTAAATAATCATGAATGGTGTTTTTAGAAGGGGAAAAAAAAATCAGCACAGAGAAGCTAGCGGGTACTTAACAAAACCATCTAAAATTAGTTCAACACTACCACTCGGGTGATGATATAGCGGAGATGGTGTCCAATTATCGGAGAAAAACATAAGAACTTTCTTCTGGCACCATATTATTTCTCTATAGCAACACATAGGCTTAGCCGCTAAAAATTAAGTGACTTAGCAGCCCCTTAGCCTGTAGCCTTATTATTGAGGACATATACAACGATTTTATGCTTATAATAGACGCAGCCCTCATACAAATTTCTTTTGATGGATGCAGTCAAAACATCTTAAAAGCATTTTAGGCTACTTCTGTTAATAATTGAGGACAGATAAAAAGTAAGGTCTGAAATAGTAGGTTCAGTCCTTATTTAGTTCCACTTTGTCGATGTAGCAACTGTAGCTCATCAATCCCAAACATCAAGGGGAAACAGTTTGAAATTAGTTGCTTCTTTCGTACTAAAAATTGGTATTACCTGTGCATCAGTTCCCCCAGCACCAGCTGTGATTGCAATAACAGCACCTTCTTTATCATAGGGGCCAGAAAGAAGTTGGGTCAATTCAAATCGATCCAATGCCTTGTTCAGTTGTTTAACAATTCCAGCAGCCTCTTCAAGGAGCCCCGTATCAATTGAGTCCATCTCCTCAGTAAGCTTAATTATTGTTTCAATATCATCAACCTGTATCAGAACTTAACATTTAGATTCTGTTCAAGTGAGCAATAAGTGCATGTTTGGTACAACTAGACAGAACAATGAACAAGAACTTGGTTTTTTCTATTTATTCCTTAGTAGTGTCCAACCCAGTCTAATCTACCTTACCAAACAAGGCATAGATTTTACCATGTTGACAATTTTTATGAAACTAATGTAAGTAAATTGATCGAAAATTTCACTACAGTGAAATAAAGACCTGCGATTTGAAGTCATTAAGAAGTTTTATTTTGTCTTTCACGTCAGTCAGAGACTGAAGGGTCTGCTGAGCTCTGGCACGATCATCCCACAGAGAGTTATCTGCTGCTGCTGCCTCCAAATCTTCAAGATTTTCTTTGAGCTGCTTCAGACCGGAAGCAGCCCTAATTTCTTCGACGCGTTCTGAGGTAGTCTCCACCTCTTTCCTCAAGGAATAGAAATCTGCAAATGTATCATAGCCATAATTAGTTCCTTCCCACATAAATACATTAGTCACGTGGTCAAGATGCAGATGACATGGAAAAAATTTCAGGATCTTGAAAAATATATTTTAATCAAGGTTTGGCAAAACATAGCAGTATCGGTTCTAGAAGTTCCAGGAAGGAAAAAAATTTCAAATGCAAGACGTGATCTTGGGCTTGAAATTGCCTTGTGCTATTTTCAGCTTTTGTATCGATTTTCCACGTCAGGGACAAAATAAGAGTTATTTCCACGTCAATATTGTGGCTCGAGTCCTCATTATGTTTACTCTGGCATATGTGGAAGTAAATTCTTTGAGTCAGTAGAATCAAATCCACATCAATATTTATGCTCGTGAATTTTGTTCAGATCAACTATATTTCCTTATTACCATTTCCCCAACAATTCCATAACCATTTCAATTTTTCAACCTTTCAAATCTATTGGAAACCTGAAAGAAAAGAAACTTTAATGCAATAATGTATGGATCATCCTTTCATTCGTAGCTACTAGATACAATCAAATAGCTCAACCTTTCATCATGTTGCTAGGTCGGTATTGAAGATGAAAATGAATTTGAGGGTCTTTGATAAATTCAGGGAAAATGATAAATTGAGCAATGTATGCTCTACAAGTTGCACAAAAATCATGTCTATTATAGTGTCTAACCTTGTTCACTACTACAAACCAAGCGTGCACTTAAAGTCACGCCGACAAACTCACAACATGTGCAAGAGAAACAGAGGGCATACCTTGCATTGCCCATTCACTTGTTTCCATACTAACTCCCGCCTCCGGAGTTGCAAACAACAATGTGCAGCCTTCATTTGAGAATTAATAACAAAATAATATTAAAATAAACTTAAGTTGAATTGTTTTGGGAGGAGAAGGGGGGGGGGGGGGGGGGG